ATGTTAATAATCACTAGCCATCAGAGAGATGCAAATCAAAACAACAATGAGATATCATCTTATACCAGCAGCAACAGCAAAGATAAAAAAAAAAAAAGTAGAGGACAATAAATGCTGGCGAGGATGCGGAGAGACTGGGATGCTCCTGCATAGCTGGTGGGACTGCAAAATGGTCCAACCTCTCTGGAAAGCAATACGGTGCTTCCTCAGAAGGTTGGAAATAGAAATACTTTATGATCTAGGAATTCCTCTACTTGGTATTTACCCACAAGAAATATGACCCATAACACAAGTAGATATATGCACACCAATGTTCACAGCAGCACTATTTACAATAGCAAAAAGATGGAGACAGCCAAAGTGCCTATCAATGGAAGAATGGATAAACAAATTGTGGTACATACACACAATGGAATACTATACTACCTTGAAGGACTACAAGGAAGCTGCAAGCCACCGCATAATATGGATGAAACTTGAGGGTGTTATGTTGAGTGAAATTAGTCACAAAAAGAGAAATACTGCATAGGACCACTACTGTAAAAGACTAAGGAAAAAAGTACCCATACTAAAGGAGCTCTGGTAGCGTAGTGGTTACGAATCGGGCTGCGAACCTTAAGGTCAGCGGTTCGAAACTACCAGCCGCTCCGTGGGAGAAAGATGAGGTTTTCTACTCCCGTAAAGATTTACACCCTTGGAAACCCTGTACAGGGTCGCTATGGGTCGGAACCGACTCGACGGCACTTAACAACAACAACTAAAGGGGGGTGGGGAGGACTCTTTGTTGATTGTTGGGATGTTGGGGGTAGGTAAGGGAAGGGAGGGGAAGGTGGAGCACAGGGCAGGAATTAGACACAGGATAATTTGGGTGCTGGGGAGGGGGGCAATATACAAGTAGGGAGAGGGGAATGGAAGAACAAAGCATGGGAGAACAATTAAGACAGGTCTCAATTGGCTAAGTGGGACAGAGATTAATAATGATATATGCACAACCTTGGAACAACAGGATTCTGGGATACAGAGACTGAGGCATGGTTGGAATGGGGAAAAGGGGGGAATAATGTTAAGATGCTTGGCTGTCTTTTGAACCTTGGTTTTACTTGCGTTATAATATAAAATAGACACTGACGGGGGGAGAGAAAGGAATAGCTAGAAACATCACCATAGAAAGCTTTTAAGTCCGTCTTCTACCTATAAATGATTGGAACACCTAAAATGGGGCTACAACATGCCCAGTGAAGGAGGCTTCCTGCGGAGCCTCTGCGATACATAAGACTATAGGTGGAAGCCTGAACCACATCCAGATCTCCAGAGATGGGAAATTCCCACTTGAAAGGACAAGCAGACCAGCCTGGAGTGGCTAGAAGAACAGAAGATACTTCTTGAAAGAAAGACCTACAGGAAAAATATAAAACAACATAGGCAGACCGACTGTTACTACAAGAACAAGCAAATTGCTTGCCCAGGAAACATCAAGGCAAGTGGTCGGGTCCCCTTAGTGCAAACCCCCTTCCAAGACTAAGACTCAATGGGAATGAATACATGCGCAATTGTGACCACACTCAACACGGAGGGAAAAACAGCAATGAAGTGGTGAGCTAAGCCCTACAATGTTCAATAAACTTCTGTGAACCGGGGTGAAGACCTGGTTGACCAGCAGTGTGGCAAGACCTGGGGACTCTTGGGCCCAGAGTCAGTGACATAGCCACAGAGGACTAGAGTGGAGAGTGAAGTGTCCAGCTGATAAGAAGAGAGGGCATATGCATAAGAACACCCACACTTCCAGATAATACCCACTTGTCCTGACTTCAATGACTGGATGATCAGAGCTCAACCAGAAGTAAAAAGAAGAGGGGAAAAAAAAAAAGTATTCTCATACAATTTAATGAACTTGACCTTCACCTATGGAAGCAGCAGCTCAAAAGAGAGAATAAATCCTTACAGCAAGAATCATTCCCACCCCCCCTCCACACACAAGAGTAGACAGGGATGGGCAACTTGGACATTGGCTACCCAAAATGGGGGGCGGGGGGCTACAAAGTCAAGAAGTGACTGGCTTACAAGCTTTCAAGAGGGAACCTAGATACAGAGGGCCTGGAGGAAAGTAGAATCTCCAGTGAGTAGTATCCAATCTGTCTAGGCGGGGCTGATGCAATGAAATGTAGACAGGTCTCTTGTGATACAACAGTGAATAATTGTTATCAGGACTGATTGTGAAGGTTGGAAATGTAAAGGCAAACGTTTTATAGCAAGGAGGGGAGTGATTAACTTTTCAGTCTAGGAGCGGAGGTCCCTAGGAGAAAAGCAGAGAGCGGGACCCTACCCAGAGAAGCAGTGATGCCTGAAATGGAGTCAGAGATGATGACGTGGAGCGATGGAGCAGCTGGAGATCCAGAGAGGGAGAGTGACTGTGTGCTGAAGACCTCGGGGGTACAGGGGGCAGGATTGCAGGGTATACCCTTTGGTTGATTGATGATGCACGGAGGGGATTGTAACCATGGAAATGAGACGATATATGATAGAATGAATGTAAAATTAATGTTCTCCCATGTAAACTATCACATAATTCACAATAAAACATTTAAGAGAAGAAAAAAAAAGGAGAAATACTGCATAAGACCCCTATTGTAAAAGACTAAGAAAAAAAGAACCCATACTAAAGGGGGGGATTCTTTGCTGGTTACAGGGATGTGGGGAGTAGGATAAGGGTAGGGAGGGGAAGGTGGAGCACAGGGTAGGGAACAGACACAGTATAGTTTGGGTGCTAGGGAGGGGGGAAATACACAACAAGAGGGAGAGGAATGGAAGAACAAAGCGGACGGGAAAACAATTAGGCAGGTTTGCATGGGCTAAGTGGAACAGAGGCAAATAATGATGCATGCACAACCTTGGAACAACAGGGCTCTGGGATACAGGGACTGAAACATGGTTGGAATGGGCAAAAGGAGAGAAATAATGTTAAGATGCTTGGCTGTCTTTTGAATCTTGGTTTCGCTGGCATACCATTATAAAATAGCCGCTTGAGGGGGAGAGAAAGGAATAGCCAGAAATATCACCATAGAAAGCTTGTGAGTCCATCTTCTGCCTATAACTGATTGTAATATCCAAAATGGAGCTACAATTTGCCCAGTGAAGGAGGCTTCCTGCGGAACCTCTGCATTACATAAGACCATAGGTGGAATCCTGAACATCATCCAGAATCTTCTGAGGTGGGAAATTTCTACTTGAAAGGACAAGCAGACGAGCCTGGAGTGGCTAGAAGCACAGAAAATACTTCTTGAAACAAAGACTGAAAAATACAAAACAATAATAGCAATCTGACTGATTTAAAACAAGCAAGTTGCTCACCCAGGAGACATCAAGCCAAGTGGTGTGGTCCCCTCAGGGCAAACCCCCTTCCAAAACTAAGACTCAATGGAAATACACGAGCAGACATGCACTCTGACTGGTGACCATGTTCATCACTGATAAGGGGAAGTGAGGGAAAAACAGCAATGAAGCTACGAGCTAAGCCCAACAATGTTCAATGTGGAGACCTGGTTGGCCAGCAGTGTGGCAAGACCTGGGGACTCTTGGGCCCAGAATCAGTTACATAGCCATAGAGGACTAGAGTGGAGAGTGAAGCGTCCAGCTGATAAGAAGAGAGGGCATATGCACAAGAACACCCACACTTGCAGATAATACCCACTTGACCTGGCTTCAATGACTGGATGATCAGAGCTCAACTAGAAGAAGAAAGAAGAGGAAAAAAAGAGTAATCTGATACAATTTGATGAACTTGACCTACACCTATGGATGCAGTAGCTCAAAAGAGAGAACAAATCTTTACATCGAGGATCATTCTCATCCTCTCCATACACAGAGTAGACAGGGATGGGCAACTTGGACATTGGCTACCCAAAATGGGGGGGTGGGCTACAAAGGCAAGAAGTGAATGGATTACAAGCTTTCAAGAGGCAGCACATATGCAGAGGGTGCAGAGGAAGGTAGAATCTCCACTGAGTAGTATCCAATCTGTCTGGGCAGGGCTGATGAAAGGAGATAGGGACAGGTCTCTTGTGATACAATAGTGAATAATTCTTATCAGGACTGACTGTGAGGGTTGGAAATGTAAAAGTAGATGTTATATAGCTAAAGGAGGGGTGTGATTGACTTTTCATTCCAGGAGTAGAGGTCCCTGAGACCATCAAGGGAGAAGAGCGGAGTGTGGGACCCTACCCAGAGAAGCAGTGATGCCAGAGATGGAGGCAGAGACGATGTGGAGAGATGGAGCTGCTGGGGATTCTAGAGCCAGAGAGGGAGAGGGGCTGTGTGCTGATGGCCAGTGGGGCAGGCTTGCAACCCTTTGGTTGGTTGCTGATACATAGAGGGGATTATAACTATGGCAATAAAACAATATACGATAGGATGAATGTAAAGCTAATGTAAACTATCACATAATTCACAATAAAACATTTAAAAAGGGGGGGGGGGAGGATTCTAGATTCATATTCCTGCCAATAACAACCTCATTTCCAAGAAAAACTTTCTGAAGACAAGTTCTCTCTAAGAGATTTTCTTATTTCTATTGTAAACCAATACTTTAGATAACTTTATACATATCAGATCATAATCTTAAATCTGAAAAACATCTTAGTCTTGAAAATAAAGAATGCATGCCATCTGCCTTTTCTCAGTGACACCACTTATTCAAATGAAGCCACGGACAGGACGCAGTCATCCTCATACAAAGCAAGGTTTAAACTATATAAGCCATCCATTTTTACCCTTTGTGATTGGGCTGCAACTTTGTGGGGGAAGGAGGTGAGCTTAAAACTAAGGAGTCAGGAGTTTGTCTACCAGGACCCCCAAAGCCTCCATGTCATGTGACAAGCATTTGGTTTTCAAATATGTTAGCCTTCACTGCAAACACAAGCACTGACGCTAACCTGTGTTGACTCAATGCAGAAAGGACTTTAGAATGATTTGAGGATGAAAGGAAGTCAGGGAATACTGTTTACCGGAAGAGTAAAGAAAGCAGGGTGCTTTGCCTCGTCTTCATATTTGCCTTCCGTGGAACTTCCAGCCTCCATTGACTTGGACGTGGTGTTCTTCCCAATACCCATCATTAAGAGAAAAGAAGTGGTTTTCCGTAGCCGTTGGACTGAGGTGGCTGGAAGTGAAGGCCCAGTCAAAGCAGGTGCCCAGGAGTCAGAGTCAGCTTTTTCCAGTGCCAGCAGCACCCAATTCTCAGGCCAGACTGAGTCCCACACGCGCCATCTCTTAGCACCTAGACAAAGAGAGAGCAGCAAATGACCTCAAAACGCACAAGGCAACACACGACACATTGCCATCTGCCTTCCTGCACATAGAAGGAATCTCAGCACAAATTATACTCCAGGCACCCCAAAACAAATGATTTCATGACACTTTTCATGGCTGCACCCCACTTCATTTAGTCACTATTTCTGATTCTGATGAGAGGGACCAATAAATGGGGATTTAAAAAATCAGCATATCAGGAAGAAAATATAGCAAAGGTATTTCTCTGCCATGCATACAGCATATCTGTTATAGCCCAACACCACCCAGTAGAACTTTCTGCAATGATGACAGTGTACTACATCAGCAGTCCAATACGGGTGATCACCGCTAGCAACGTAGCAACTGAAATATAGTTACTGCAGCTGATGAAATGCAGTTTTTATTTAATTTAAATGTAATTACTCTGAATTGTAATAGCCACGTGTGGTTTTCAGCTACCTTTTTGGACAGTAAAGACATAACCAATTTATCATAATTGAATGATTATTAAAATATTTCTAAATTCTCTATTTGTGTCCAATTGAGCAGAAGGTACTCAAGCATAAAAAATAAGAGTTAAAACTAAGATAGAATTAGTCTCTTCAACTAATGGTGCTGGCAAAACTGGAAATCCACTTGCAGAAAATGAAACAAGACTCATCTCTGACACCACAGAGGTTTACATTTAGATCTTTAATCCATTAGATTAAAGATCTAAATGTAAAGCCTAAAAATATAAAGATCATCAATGAAAACTGGGGGACAAACTTAGGAGTTCTAATATATGGCATAAATATGCTGTCAGACATAACTAAAAACACACAAAACAGTAGAAGATAAACAGATGCCTGGGACCACCTAAAAAATTAGACACTATGTACATCAAAAAATTTTGCCAAAACAGTACACAGAGAGCCCACAGACTGGAACAAAAGTTTTGAAACAACATGTCACACAAGGGACTAATCTCTAAAATTTATAGAAAACTACAACACCTCTACAAGAAAGAGATAAACTACCCCATTAAAAAATGGTTAGAGAATATGAACAGACACTTCATCAAAGACGACATTTAGGTAGCCAACAAATATATAAAGAAATGCTCACGATTATTATTAGCCACTGTTGTTTAAGTGCCATTGAGTAGGTTCTAATTCACTGTGACTCTGTACAGGGTTTCCGAGAAGCAGCTGGAAGGTTTGAAACACCAACCTTGTGGCTAGCAGTACAGTGTTTTTCCTACAGCACCACAATGAGATATCATCTCATCCCAGAATTAATAGCAAAGTTAAAAAAAAAAAGAAAAAACACACACAAATGCTGGTAAAGGTATGGATAGTTTGGGATCTTTTTACATCGCTGGTGGGACAGCTAAATGGTTCAATACCTGTGGAAAACAGTATGGCACTTCCTCAAAATGTTAGAAATAGAAACTTAAGAAAAGGTTTTCATACTAAGAGATACATTCTTTAATGATTACCAGGGCTGTGAGCAAGGGGAGAGTAATTTCATTGGCTGGAGGATAGACACATGTTAACTCGGGTGACAGGGAGGTTAGCAGAAGAATGATGCAGACAGGTGAAGACAAAGGGAGGTGTGCAAGGGCTAAAGGGAACAGAGTTAAATAGTGTTATATAAACAACCTTGGAACAGCAGTGTTCTGTGGGAAGACACACGGGTAGATACACAGGCTGAGGGTATGGGAGGAAGAGTGGGAGTATACCCACAAATATATAAGGTTTGAAAGAGGATATGTATTTACCATTCCTGCACATACGACTATGAATGTGGTAGAGCATAAAGCAGTCAAAATGATGACAATTTCTTAGATATTGTCAAACATCTTAAGGCAATGAGTTGTTGGGCCTGGGAGCTCAGGACCAGTCTCAAGAGTACACCAAGGTCAACAGACATAACATAGTCCGCAATGACAATGGTCTACATTCCACTTTGGTGAGTAGTGTCTGGGATCTTACAATCTCATGAACAGCCATCTAAGGTGCAATTATTGGTCTCTCCATGTGTGGAAGAGTGATGAGAACTGATGATGCCTGGAATCAATTAGTACAATAGACTAATGGAACATGTACATATCAGTCTCCACAACTCTGAGGCCAGAAGAACTAGATGGTGCCTGGCTACCACTACCAACTGCTCTGAAAGGGATCACATTAAAAGATCCCTGACAGAGTGGGAGAAAACGTAGAACAAAACTCAAAATTATAAACAAAGAGACTGGGCTTACTGGTCAGAAAGAGACTGGAAAAACCTGAGACAATGGCCCTCAACTACCCTTCATGTCCAGAAAGGAATTCACCCTTATGGCCTAATTTTCAGCCGTACAGGTGGGACAACAACACTAGTAAGGTATGCTTACCATGGAATGGACAGTCATTCAAAAATCACAAAGGCAACACTTACTTAAAGACATAAAGTTGAGAAGGGATTAGAAGGTACAATGGAAATAGGAACCACAGGGAGGAAGTGGGATGAGTGTTGTGGCATGGAGGGGATCGCAATCACTGAGATGAAACAAAATGTATCATTTGTTGAATGTAAAACTGATGATCTTTCAAGGTCTGTAAACCTTCACTCAATTCACGAGAAAAAGTTTTTGTTTTTGTTTTTGTTTTTTTCAAAATCTACAATTAAGTAGTCATATAGAGTTCCAAGAAAGTAGCAAGAAGAACTTTGCAGGGGCTAAAATGCCACAGAAAGTAAAGGGAGTCAAACATCAATCAAATGATGATCTAAACCTAAAGAAGAAACTAAACAACAAAAAAGATGGTGTGCAGAATCAACACTTCTAGACCTACCTATCGGTCAGTTCGTTGTTTTGTAGTGGTTTGCATGTTTCTATGTCACTGGAAAGCTATGCCACCAGCATTATAAGTACCAGCATAGGAACTCATGGTGAGAAGGTTCCCAGTGGAGCTTCCAGACTAAGACAGACTAGAAAGAAGGCCTCATGATCTACTTCTGAAAACTAGCCAATGAAAACCGTATGAAGCACTTCTCTATTGTCCACAAATACTGTCCAGCTGTGTGCTGGAAGATGAGCCCCTAGGTTGGAAGGCACTCAACAGACAATGGCTACAACAATGGACTTGACCATGAAGATGACGATGGGCTGGGCCATATTTCATTCTGTAGTACACAAGGTCATTATGAGTCAGAGCAACTGGAAACAACAAACACATAGAGGGGATAAAGACAGAAAGTGCAGGCCAATGATAGGGAAAAGTGCCAGGCAGAGGGTAAGGCAGAACTCTAGGGCAATTTCATCCACAAGGTCAGTGGTTCGAATTCACCAGCTGCTCCTCGGAAACTCTATACAGGGTCGCTAGAATCAGAACAAACTTGACGGTACTTAACAACAATGGTGTATATCTTACAGACCAACACTTTCCAACAGAAGTTTCTACCTTGATGAAAATGCACCACGTCTGCACTATTCCAATCGGCACTAGACACATGTGGTTACTAAGTACTTGAAACTTCAGGGATGGAAAAGAAAGTAAAAAAAGAAGACAATGGACGCTGAACAAAGAAACATATCCTTGGGAATTGGGTGGTAAAAAGTCCCAAAATGACAGAGTACTCCACACCCACATATACAAGTCTGAGATGAAGGAAAGCCTCAAGGCTAGAAATTGGGCACCAGCCTGAGATCAGAGTGTTTCACTCCTATAGGCCAGGCTTGCTGTGAGTAAATGCCAAGGTCCAGAGGCAAAACCACAAAAGATAAAAGGGAAGGGCGGAATTGGATGTAGAGTCTGTGTTAAAATTTTTGTTAAAACCCAAAGCAAAATAGCTTAGGGAATCTCCACCGGGGGATGAGTTTGTCAACCACTCACCACCTCTCTCACTGTTGCTGGTTGCCATTGCATCAATTCTGACTCATGGTGGCCCATCCATGTGTGCAGAGTAGAACCACCTGTCCCATTGGGTTTTCAAGTCTGAGGCCTTTCAGAAGGAGATAGCCAGACCTGTCTTCCCAAGCATCTCTGGGTGGGATCGAACTGCCAACATTTCGGCTAGTAATGTAGAGCACTTAACAGTCTGTGCCACTCAGGGTGACTCCTCTCTCCCTGTTGTTTTTGTTGTTATGTGCTGTGGAATCGGTTCCGACTCATAGAAACCCTGTACAGAATTTCCGAAGCTGTAAATCTTTATGGGACCAGAAAGCCTCATCTTTCTCCTGTGGAGCAGCTGGTAGTTTCAAACCTCTGACCTTGCGGTTCACAGTCCGATTTGTAACCACTATGCTACTAGAGCTCCTTTGTTGTTGTTGTTAAGTGCCATCGAGTCGGGTCCGACCCATAGCGACCCTGTGCAGGGTTTCCGAGGGTGTAAATCTTTACGGGAGTAGAAAGCCTCATCTTTCTCCCGCGGAGCGGCTGGTAGTTTCAAACCGCTGACCTTAAGGTTCGCAGCCCGATTCGTAACCACTACGCTACCAGAGCTCCACACTCCTTGCAAATTAAGAGGGACAATCAAAGCCAATCAATTATTCAAAAAGAAGAAAAGAAATCAACTATAAAAGTAACTTTGTCCACTTTATCAAAGACCTTAAAAGGAAATACTCAGCAGACAAGTTCTGCAATGTCCGGAATTTCCAGGAAAGTGAAGCAAGGACTTCTAGGTCAGTCACACCCAGCAATTTGATGACACTTAAGAAAATGCTGAGGTCATGAGAGAGCACATTTCACAAAGGATGAAGAGGATGACAAATAACAATCAGAGTTATAACAGTTTTCCAGAGATGGTCGAGAGCCAGGTACATCTCAGGCCTCTCATTGTAAGTTGTTGTTAAGTGTCATGGAGTTGGTTCCAACCCTTTGGGTTTCTAAGGACCGGCTGGTGAGTTTAAAGTGTCGACCTTGTGGTTAGTGCTTATCCTACAGTGACACACCAGGGCTTCAATTATATATGTTGTTTTTATTAAGTACCATCAAGTTGGTTCCAACTCAAATCCTGTAT